GGAAGGAGGCAGGGAGAGGGGGCTATCTCTAGATCTCGATGGAGCCCGCGTCTATAAATACGCATTCATGTCTAGTCAAGTCCCCTTTTTCAACTTCTTCCCTGCGCTGGAACCTCACCCGCTGCCTTGTAACCATTACCTGGGCCCCTCCGCGCCCCCCACCCCCGTTTGCACCCGGTGAAGCCGGCCGGGAGGGCGCGCGCGGGGGTCTGCGGGTGTCCACGGAACCTTCTGGGAGGCGAGCCGCCGTCCGCCCAGCGCCAAGGCTGGAGCGGCGAGAGGTTGGGTTTTTAAAGCGACCATTGCCTCCCCGAGAGCGGCTCCGCGCCCCGGGTCCCCGCCGCCGGCACTGTGCACCCACCTACTCCTGGGCGGGTAGGGGGGAGAAAAGTTTTGAGGCGTTCTCATCTCTGCCTCCAGGGTGGTTGAACTGGTTTTGTTCTGTGTGGGTGAAGCCGAAAATCCCAGTGCCCAGGAACTAGGGGATGGTGCTTAGGGATCTGAAAAGGCTCGGCGCTGGGCTTCGGCTCCTTGGGCTGCGACACGAGTCAGCGCAGGAAGGCGAGAGAGCGAGAGACCCTCGGAGTTGCATCACCATCCGAGGAAACTCCGTAGGTAATGCCCGGAGCAGAAGCTGTGGGGCTGATTTGTGGCTCCCGGGCTGCGCCGGCGCTTATCTCCACCAATCTTACTTCCATTGACTTAAAACAGCTGCCGGTTTGCCCGGGGGTGGGGGTGGGGGTGGGGGTGGCGTGGGGTGGGGTGGCGTGGGGGAGGGGAATCCTATTAAATGTCCAAACTAGGGTGGAGCGGGGGAATCCTGACCCATCTTCCTAAATCTGGTGTCCAGAAAGGGGCAGGGAGGGAGGGCCCTCGAGGGAGGCAACGGGTCTGGAGGAGGCTGACGGAGAAGGGGGCTTAGACACAATACGAGCAACACGTTTCTTTTTCTCTGTTCCCTTCCCGTTCTCTAGCTTGATGCTGATTTGCATGTTCTCTGTCCTCATCTCGGCGATTTTCTTCGGGCGCGCATCCATCGACTGAGCCGCGTCCCTCGGCACCCCCAGCATTTCCCAGAGTGCAACAACACCACCAGGAGATCAATGACCAGTCTGTTTATTCTCCACGCGCCTGGAGGAGCAGGGCACTGAAGGAGCATGGGAGGGAGGCTCCGGGCTTGCCTGTTTGCTATCTCTCGCAGACTTTTTCTAGCTAATTTCTAAACGGCAACCAGCAAGCGTATATACAGTTCCTTAATGCACGCGACACATACCGACCACAATATATTCACCTAGAAAAGTGATACATCCTTCCTCCCCCTTTCCACCCTTTGGAAGTGGATTGCTAATACCTGAGATTTTTGCACTTGTCTGGAGTGGAAACTTTCTGGGGTGTTGGACGATTGATTATTTGGTACCTGCTTTCTAAAAATGGCTAAACACCTTTCCTTGGAACAAAAGTGAGAAATGCAAATCTTAATAACTCAAGGCAAAAATTTCAAAGTGTAAGCACAGTTATTATCCACTCCCACAAAGAAAAGCTTCCTCTTCCACAAATATTTGATAGCAGAGAGCCCAGTAATTAAGAGAACAATCAAATAAACTCAAGGCTTTCATGGGGACTCTAAATTATCATCTGCCTAGAATTTATAAGCAGCACAATCATTTGCCAACTTGGATGTAGCTCTGGATATAGCATTCTAAATGTGTATCCTTAAACAATTTTACTATGTTTTCTTAAGAATGTAATGAGAGAGACCATGGATAATAATAACATTCAAATTGCTGGATCAATGTGGCCTCACCAACTGTGTGAAAAAATTCTCTGCGTGTGTGCATGGAACATTGTTCCTATACATTACTTTTCATCGGATTTCTTATATCATGCAAGCTTCAAGTCTGAGCCACTCGTGTAAAAATAGAAGAGTCCATTAATAATTGTACTTTACCTTGAATTTAAGTGTAATTTTTTTTGTAGAGAGTCGTTGGCACACATTAAATGATTTATTCTCATGACACACATATGAAGTTGCTTTTCACAGTGGGCTGTTACTACCCAGGCCCTTATATAATGTGCAAGAGGCAAATCAGGCCAACTGAAAAAAAAAAAAGGCCTCTCACTACCAATTATATAAAAATAAGTAACATTTGACAAGGGGTTGTTGTTTACAGTGAACTTCCACTTCCTCTCAGCCCCTACTCAGTGAAAATAAAGGGACAGTGAGTCTTTTTCCCCCAGCTCTCTGGCCAATGGGTGATAAACGTATATGGCTGGCCTAACCCCACCACACCAAGGAGGGTAACAGCTTCTGGACTCAGCAGGCTTCCTACTTGCAGGAGACGGGAGGCTGAGCAGAGGGAAGAAGGGGCAAAGTTGCAAGCTGCCTGGTGAGATATTGGTGAAACTTGAATTACACCAACCTCTTCTTTCTTTGCTCCTACAGGCAGCAGAACTTCCAACCACTTATGGTTATTGAAACCACATGGCCTTAAGACTAACCCATGATCATTATACAGCAACGACAGAGCTGATCAAAAACCTCCAGTGGAATGTTTGTTTGTGTAGGGCTTAAAAAAAAAAATACCCATATTTGAAGTGGGACTGACACATGAAAGATCAGTGTTTCCATTTATCAAGCATTTACTGTGTGCCGGGCTCTTGGCCAAGTGCTCTTTTTATGGATTTTGTCTCTATTTTTTACTACATACTTGCAAAAAAAAAAAAAGTTACATCCCTGCTTTGCAGATGAGAAAACTAAAGCTCAGAAAGGTTAAATGACTTGCCCAAAATCATACCATTTCAAAGTGGTTGTGCCAGGATGCCAGTCCAGATGCTCCTGCTTCAAGCTCTTCCACTTTGTCTTGATGCACTTACAGTTTATATTAGGGCCAGTTTTTTCAGTGGGAAATGTTATTTTCATTAAATGCATAGATTTAAAAATACCAAATTTACACTCTGTACAGTTCAGACATAAGCCACATTGGTATACTCACTCACATTGGTTATTAGGTAACTGGGAAATTTCTAATAAAATCTAAATGTGCCAGATAAAGGAGTACCCATATATATATTAAATATGAAAGATATTTAGCAATATATATGAAATTATCTTATTTTCTAGGCTGAGCAACTATATATTATATTGACGTATGTATATTTCCATTTAATGTATATAATAAAATAGCTAAAGTTTTTGAACTGTGTAATTTTACAAGCATTGTTCTAAACACTTTACATGTATAAACTCATTTAATCCTCACGACTACCCTATAAGGTACGTAATTTTATTATATCATTTTGCAGTTCAGGAAACTGAAGCACAGAGAGGTTTCATAATTTGTCCAAGGTTACACTATTAACAGGTAATGGAGCCTGGACTCAAATCAAAGTACTTCAGTGTTAAGCCCTTTATTCATTTTGTTACGCTACCTTTCAGTGTATCTACTGAGCTGTATATACAGTGAACGTACATAGACTCATAGACAGATAGGTACGACAGTTGTTCCTTGATTAACATGAGTTTGAACTGCACAGGCCCACTTACGTGCAGATTTTTTTCAATAAATACTACTCTATCCATGGTTAGTTGAATCCCCAGATGCATAGGGTGGACCGTGGGACTTGAGAATCTTCAGATTTGGATATGGTGCAGGTCCTGGAACCAATTCCCTGCAGATATCCAGGGACAACTGTATAGATGTAACCCTCAAAATTTGGGGAAAAAATAAAGGCACATCAACTGAGATTTGTATCAGTCTGCATCCCTGTATTCTAATTGCCTCTGGAAGCTCTAGAAATATTATTGGAAGAGATCTTTACATCTGTCCAAAATGTTAAAGATTCTCTAAAAATTTTTGAGGCAACCTCAAGCCCCCCAACATATCTGGAGGCATTACGGGAATGCTAGTGAATACATATTAGGAGGATACAATATTTGGGACTCTGGTTGACCTGTACAGAGTTCATTTTGGATGTATTTGGCCTGTATGTTAAAAATAGCAGAGACAGGGTACTTGGGAATCCTAAATACAAGAGTGAGGGATACTAATCGATAATGAAAATCTGTGACCTGAGAAGTAGAGGGAAATTAGATGAGGCAAGAAACCAAATGTCATGCCATCTTAATAACTATGAATTATCCATTTTTATTGTCTTTAAAAATTTAAGACAGCTGAGAGATTGCCCTCTGGTGTCTTCCTCAGAGAGAAGGAGCCAGGCCCTGAGCTCGTAGGAGAGTGTATGCTGAGAGTGGAGATTGCTCCATCTAAGTTTTAAAGGGGAGCCCAGAGGTTCCTGGAGAACATAAACAAAATAAAACAAAAGTAGGGGAAGCACTATGTTACTCCAAAGTGATGCCAGTGGATGCACTCTGCTGTGGCAGTGGTTTGGCACATGAGCCTTGGAGTCTCACAGACCTGGGTTCAAGTACCATGCTGACACCTGCTTCTGTGGGTAACCTTTGGCAAAGCATTTAAATTCTCAAAGCCTCAGCTTCCCTATCTGTAAAATGGATATAATAGTAGTGCTTGTTGCAAGGATCAAATGGTATCATTCTCATAAAGCCCTTAGCCTAAAACCTGGACCTCAGTCTGTGTTTAAAAAAAAAAAAAGAATTATTGGTAATAAAATTGTGTTAAAAGTAAAAAAAAAAAAAAGAAAGAAAAATTGAGATGGTTTATCAACTATCACTCCATTAACAAGAGTGCATTATAAAATGATGATTTCAGTTTAGCAATTATGGACTCAAATGTTGACACTGCTCAAAGGAACCTTGAAATATTTGATAAGGATTGCAGATATATGAGTGGTTTATGTCATGTTTATTTTTAACTGTCTCGCCAAACACATTATGCACATCAAATGTGAAAAAGTAAGCTTCTCCAAATCAACCAGCTTCAGGAAACTATTGTGAGACCTTCTCTCTCTTTTTCTCTCCCTCAGTACAGTAAGGGATTCTCTATAGAAGGAATAATAACTGATACAATCTTCCCATCCTTGGGCGCACTTACTCCCGGTAACTCCCGAGATACTGACATCTAAACTATTAACTGTACTGGGTCTTATGTGCCTCTTCAGAAACACTGAAAAAGACACCCTGTACCTAACAGATGTCGCACATTAAGCTCTTACTGAAAAAAACTTTTAAAGCCCTATTACAGATACATATGTTTTCATTTAAAAACTACTATGAAATCAAGTGCACTTTTATTTAAACATTCCCCTGTGGTTCTACGAATTAAGGATCAGTAGTACTATATTAACTGAGAACCAGACCCAACTGGTTAAAGACAGTTGGTAAAACTGCCAACACTGGTTTAGTTGCCGAAGATGACTGAAATGTGAGGCAGCATATACATTTAAAAGTGAATTCTAATTTTTTAAACTTTCTCATTTTGGTAAGTATTTAGAATGAGCTTTTTTTTTTTTTTTAATTTCAGCCACAGTTTTGAAAAGGGGAAATAATGTATAAAACCCAGATACTTTACACAACCAAAACCACAACTGCATTGCTCTTATTAGTGAAGTGTGTTTATTATTCTGATTGTTAAATTTTCCTTCCCTGGGAGGAAAAACCAGAGAGAACAAGATTGGTTCTATTCAAGTGGAACAGCTTGTAGTCCCCACATCTAGTCTCTTAATTTTACTGTTTCTCAATTTGACTTCCATCCTTTATTTTAAATAATGACTATACAATGTGAGAGGATTTAAACATGTAAAAAATCATTTTTTTAATGTGTGGATTTCTTTCAGGTTTAGGTTTTACAATATAGTCTGTGTTTGCTATTGCTACAAATCTTGTTTCAAAATTATATAAAGGTTTACATGCAATGAGATTGATCTGATTTATAAGGAAAAGGATAACGACTAATATATTTTGCTGATTTAGAACTGGTAACGGAGCAAATTATCAAGCGAGGCAATAATATCTTAAGCTTGAGTTCCAGTAAGTTTTAGGTATTTGAGTCTATGAATTCATGATTACTCCCATTGCTGTTACTTCTTTCAGATTTTGGATACTGTATTACTGAATGCATCATGTAATATGAAATGCGGTGGACAAATGAAAGAACAAAGAGAAAGGTCAACAAAAGCACATAAAACCAGGAGGGTGGTTAAAAACCATCACTAAAAAAATGTCTTTGGTATTTGAATTCCAATAAATTATTTGAAGAAAGTAAATAAAATTTTAATCTTGAGGTAGCTTTTACCCTCCATCTTCTCATTAATGCTAATGCACTTAAATTTAGAACTTAATTCATAGGTTGATTTTTTTTCAAAAATATGTTAAGGTATTTCACCCTAAACTGTTTTGTATACTCAAAATGACTGCTTTCCAGGTAAGTTTGCTCCAGGACAGAATAATCAACTGATCATTACCCCAGTGGTTCAGATTTGGTCACATACCGCTTCCAGTTATTTCAATATAAATGATTGTGCAATATAATTTATTAATTTTCAGCTAAGTTTAATTTTTGCTGCATAAACAAGTAAATGATTAAGATTTTATACAAAAAAAAATATTCACTTTCTGTAGGCAGCTTCTGAATGCTGAGTGTTTACCTGGACATAGCTGGGGCCCACAGTGCGCTTTTCTGCCTTCCTATAGCAGGAAATCACACCATATAAAACCTCATAAATATTTCAATCCAAAAATAAAGAAATAGTGAGATGATTTGTCCGAAACCAGATAAAGGGCAATAGATATAAATAAGTATGGTATTGCTTGTAGGGAAAAAAATTAGTCTTAAGATGGTTATCCAGTAATATACGTAGCTAACAGGTCTGGGAATGTTGAAGGGGCTTCGGGGAAAATGAGAAGAAATCTTCAAAATAACATCAGAGGGTCTGGATCTACATGTAGAAAATGAGAGAATCTGGACTACATAGAAAAATGACAAAACTGACCAAACTGTTCGAAACAGAACCAACCGGGTAGTGACAGGGGAGTAGACAGATAATGGGATACTGAAGAACTTCCTTCACGAATTTTTTAAGATAAAAATATTGACCAGCTGTTTTCCGACTTCAAAGAGAATAGAATTAGACACAATGGAGAGCACCGGCATTAGAAAACCTGGATTTGAAGTCCAGTTTATTAAAAAATAAAAGCTGTGGATATTTGCTGTAATTTTAAATTAAGAAAAATGAGAGAAAGAGATAAATAAGAGCAGAGGAATAAAAACGCAGCCAGAAGTGAGTTCACCACAAAATGCACATCTCACTTTACAGATCTATGTCCTTTATTAACTTTGTTTATTGTAGACCTCCTTGTGCCAGAGATGGTGCTAGAATTGAGCTACATACTGAGACTACATTCAACCTCTCCAGCAGCCAAAAAGGAAGAAAAAGGGTCCATTTCCATGTTTACAATTGTTAGAGAGAAGCCTGATTATTCCTGACATCAAGAGAAAGAAAAAATGCCACATGATATCACTTATATGTGGAATCAAAAATATAAGGGGGACACAGAGGAACTACTTATTATTTATAACTTAGATGAC